CGTATACACACGCAAGTACGATTACGCGCTAATAATTTGGAATGAACTAGTCGAGCTGGTCAACGTCAAACGTTTCCCGTTCAAAGCAAGGAAGTTTGTGCCATTTCAAAGATTTTTGCAGTTGATCATTAAAGCCATGATGAACTCCAACGATGACATCCCGACCAGAGTAAATAGTTGGGCCATCATTCGTCATGACGCGTATTCGGGCAACACACAGAAGTTGAAGATCTGGATTCTATTATGGAAATCCCACCAGAATTATTTGCCTTCGCTGATTAGAGGGCTCAGTGCGTTATAGACTATAGGAGAGTGATAGATCCTATAGCTCAACCAGAACCGGTGGAACTTACCTCGGGATCAACCCATGCCTTAGCTGAGGGAGAGGGTCTAGCTTTAGTTGAGAGCGTTCAGGAACACGAGTTACCTGAACAGGGTTGTGAGCAGAGGAAAAATGAAAATGAGAGGGGTAATGTGGAGCGGGGAGACACTAATCAGCACAATTTTTCAACTGAAAGTACTTCCACAACTTCTTCAAGTTCAGAAGATACTATATCTGATAATGAGGTAAATCAGGGTGATGATCATGATGATGATGACAATGATAATCAAAATGATGATGCTGACAATCCTGCTCAACCAGTGCTTTCTCAGAATATTCAAGTTGGAGCAGTGATTGATAACATTGAAGATATCTTTCCCGAAATAGAAGCTACACAGACTTGCCCAAGTATACAATCGTTATCCTTCAATGTTGATGAATTTTGTGGTACATATGATGAATTTGATCGTTTAATGGACGATATTCCAGTAGTAGAAGATGAGGGCGTTCAAGTCGAAAATGTTGAGAGGATGAGTGACAGGGATAGAGAAAAAGATGGTGAGAGTGGGAGTGGAGCACAAAATGAAGAACAAGCTCCTATCCCAGCCGAAACAGTTAGCCGGGCACCCACATCTACTATCGCATTCATTCGTTGAATGTTGGTAAGCAGACATATCTAGCCCAACTATGCATTTGCACACCCATCCCAACCACTCAACTGATTCTCAACAACCAGTTGTTTCAATTCTTCACAGGGATTTAACACATACTCTATCTACTTCTCATTCGAAGAATGTGGATATTGAAAATAGTAGGCCTCTGCACCAGCCTACGACTTCAATTATGTGCACCTCGAGTATAAAGCCCATACACATAGGTACACACGAGTCAAGAGCATCTACTGCTCCAATTACGGTTCTTAGTGAACCTGCCAGAACAACCAGAGTGGAGTTTATTGACTTACCACGAGGACAGGTTGGAAGTCCTACCAGTGCTAACATCATGCCAACACTGAACGTAGGCACAACAGTTTATTCAACTGGAAATCTATGTGATCCAGGTGTGACTTTACCCAACTTTGTGTCAAGGGAATATCTGGACGGCGCCCTAAAGGCTGTTCAAGATCACATGGAAGCGCATATCCTATGTCTCAAAAGGATTACGAAGGGGAAGGAGTCGGTAGTCGATGATCAACCATCTGTGCCGTCACCACCGCCTATGCCCGAGCCTCCGAGGGTACAAGATCAATCGGTGGATGAGCTTAAATTTCTGTTGTATGCAAAGTTGATGTCAACTCAAAATCCATATACAGCTGATGTAGACCTGGTTGGGCTCCTCCGACAACTTGTTGATGATAACCCCACTGTTAGAGCCTCAGAGTTTTTGGCCTTTCAAGATGTAGTTGCTTCTAACTTCTCAAAAGTTAGTAAGTTAATTACATCAAACACTCAAGCCTTAAAAAGTTCCATTGATGCCATATCCGAAAGGGAGTCTATCTTAGAAGATACTTGCCGAGCTCAAGCCACCTCATTAAAAAGAAGACATGATGATTCGGACGATCTTAATCATCATGAGGGGGAGAGAAAGAGACAGGCTGACTGAGTCATCTGTACGTGTTGAAAGTGTTGAAAGGAAGCGAGATTCTCAAGCAGTTAACATTGAAAGTCCTGTTCCAGAAACAGCAAGGGAAAGGACTACAAGCTCAATAATGGTTGAAGATGAGACAGTCTTGGAGACAAATCCAGTGATCGAGTCAATGGTTGAAAAGCCAACGGACTCCACTGTAGGAACAAGGTTGCTTCTGGATTTGTCTGCCAACATGGGATTTAATGAAGTTTTTTCAAAAGAACTGGGTGGAGATCAGGATTTTGGTGAAGACATCGATAATATTGATGAGTCATCCGGGATGTATTTTGACTTTGAAGCCGATATCAATGAAGAAGATCCTATCTTCCCATTCCAGGGTGATCATCAGACTCCATTTGAACCCTCCACTGCAGTTGATCTTGGTGCATCTAGAACTCCGAGAGCGGTGTATGATCCTACTGAGATATTTTCTAAAAATTAGGTGTCGTTCGCAATTCGTGCAAATGTTCCAGGTTATGATAGGGCAAGGATCAGAGAACCCTATCTGGAAGACATTTACTTCGGTATTTTTCTTCGACACCGCAAAGCTCTCAGTGCTGACAAGATTCTTGGGATTCATAAAGAAACCCGAGATTATCGTCTAGAGTACAAGCATTTTCTTAAGGCGAAGCGTCTCCCAATCAGTCAAGTACGGACCAAACATCGCGTTGTCTCCATCAAACAAATTGATGCCCAAAGACTTCTTAGAGTTTGGTATCTTGTGTTCACTGTTACAAGACAAGATGGAAAGGTCTGGGTATTCAGTGAAGCTGATTTCTCTAATTTGTATTTAGAAGACTTGGAGCACTTGTACCACGAACTACGGAATATGACGGTCAGAAGAGAAGGAGCACTTGTTGGTCTTAATGCTATCAAGAGATTTATGCGGAATCATGTCAAAGTATCAATGGTTCTTGATATCCTAATGGACCAGAGAATCATTAATTTGAAAAGACCTGATCAAGAGCTTGAAGATATTGAAGGCTATCCTCTGTATATCATTCTTGAAGAACCAGAGTTCGGTGTGGTGTATAGTGCTGAAGGTCGGATAAAGAAGTTTATGAGATTCAGTGAACTAAATAAATACTGTGATGGCACTATAAGGATGGTGAGACGGGCGCTTGAGACGAGAGAAGCTAACAATGATAAAGTCGCGGAATTTGAAAGAATGAGTCTAAAGGAGAGGTATTTGCTGATTAATGCTCTGAATCTGCTTGATGATAAATTGCAATACCGGAGTGCGCTAAGGAGGCTAGAGACACTACTTGGGCTTAGAAAGACAAGATTTACAATGTCTCGACCTTGAATCCAAAGGGGGAGATTGTTGGGTTCAAGAATATGCTTAATTGTTGTATTCAAGTTCTCCCATTGTATTTGCTTTGTAAATAGTTAGCCTTTGTTAATTTCCTAGTATAAATAGTCTTTAGCTTGTTAATTGTAATTAATTCAGTTTAGTTCAGATTAGTTGCTGTTAATCATTCTTGTAAATTCTCTCAAGAAATACCATATTCAACTTTGATGAAAATCTCTCTCTACTCATCTTAAATCTGTTCTTGAAGGATTAATCTGATTGTGTATGATTTTGGGATTATCACATCTTGTTGGCTTCGACATGAAGATTGAATGTTTGTAGTTTATCTTTTCCACTACTATAAGTAACCATGAGAGCATCCCACAACGTTTTTCCGATGGGAAACTCGGTTTGGTTGCTGGCGAGTACTGGTTCGATGTTCTGAATGAGCCATGAAAAAAACAATCAAATCATCTTGTTCCCATTGCTCATAGTTTGCATCACTCGGACCTGGAGGATTCGAGGTCAAGTGTTTTAATAGGGCCTTTGATTTTCCACCTATGGCGACTCGAATCATTCGGGTCCATAGAGCATAGTTTTGGTTGTTGAGTTTGAGATTGATTTGCAGATTGTTGGAGAGTTTTGGGTTTTGGGGTTGGGAATTAAAACCATTTTTGATCAGATTTGTAAGTTGGATCGATAAGTCTGAAACCGAGTTACCTTCTTCGGACATGGTGGCTCGGTTTGAGGAAAAAAGGAGTTTGTAAGGAACAAAGAAAGGCTGGGATTTCTTTTTGGTACTTGATAAGCAGGTTTGGTCCTAGAGCCAAGAACACTGCTCTAATACCATGATAAACAGTATAAAGAAATTAAATTGAACTTTTTTTTGTATATTATTTACTAAAAAGAGAGCCCCAATTTATAGGCATCTACATAGAATTATACAAGAAAACCAACAGCTGTTACAGGCTAGAACTAATGAAGGAAGACAAGGAAATTGCCCCTTAAAATTGGGAGATGATTGTGGCAATGACTGATCCCTTTCGATTAAAATAATTTACCTTCCTTTATTAACAAAAAAACATGCAATTTAAATATGAATGGAATGATCAAATTTGTAATTACTCCGTTGTGTTTTGGTTACAGAAAAATGACTTGACATATTATTTAGTAAGTACAAAATATTAATTATAAAATTTTTAAATTATTTATTAATATAAAAAGTTAAGAAGACTTGTACAATACAATATATCTCATTAACATTTAAAAAAATATATTTTTAAACAAACACAATAAGAAGCGTTATATTTTTTAGTAACAAAATATTTATCTTAAAAGAATAAATCTTATTTGTTTAAAAATATATTATATTAAAATATTTAATTTTATATAGGATTTAATAAAAAAGCATGGTATTGTTTTGAAAGGGGTTTTTATTTTATTTTTAAGAAGATAGAATGAAAATCATATCCCATTTACTTTTTGTCTTTTTTAATTATTTTGAGAAATCAAACTTGAGACTTGAAAATAAATAAAACAGGAAGAAAAGAAAGGAACAAATGTTCCTTACTTTCGTAGCCCTAATTCCCATTCCATACTCCATTCTTTGCCTTTTACCATCTTCCATTATCATTCTTGGTATACATATATAACACACACCCACTACAATTTTACATAGATTTTGATTTTGATTGTTTCTCCTCTATAACTTTTTTTCTTTCTAAATAACCAATACTTCACACATCTTATTTCTTCTTTGATCATCATGTATTATCGACTCGTTAGTAATTGTATACGTTGGCTTTTAAAGGTATTTTCTTAATGCATATATATATATACATATATATATATATAATATTATTTAGATATAGAAAATAAGAATGTCGGTTGTATCTCTCAACAGATCGTTCTTAACAAACACTTGGTTAAATTATGGGCTTTCTAGATTTTGAAAAAAAAGGTTCACCTGGTGTTTAAGTTTATGTTAATTGTGATTTAGAAGGACTTATAGAAATTAGAAATGGTTGAATTAAGACACCATGTTCATTTAACATAATTCTATTAAAAAACAAATGAATGAAAAAGGAATTCCACTTGGCTCACGTATGGTCCAACCCTTTTCCATATGCAATCTATCCTACCGAGAGACAAAGAGAAAGAAAAGGAGGAGAAAGAAATGGAAGAACCCTTCAACTCTTATTATAACAACAAGGGGAAAATTCTCCCTCCTACTTTCTCTCTCTAAATAATAGGATACATTAACTCTCTCTAATTCGTCAATACCTTGCAGTTCTTGATGCTCACCTCATCATCATCCTTCAAGAGAATTAATTCTCTGGTACGCCTATTTCTTTCTACTGTTTTTGATAAACAATTCTGTAATTACTCAGACCCACTTTATAATCACTTGAATTCTATAAAAAAACATGTCAATTGTTCATGGGTGAATGGTGCATTGGTTGAATTTGGAATCCTTTTTCATGGCTGAATGGTACATTGCATGAATTTGAAGTCAATACTCTGTTGGGTTACGTATTTTTTATGATCTCCAGGTGACACCAGCTTTGTGGGTATTATCTTAGATTGCAATGTGCTGCTTGTTTTTGTCTTTCTTGAATATGACTACAGAATTTTAGGTGTTACGTAAAGAATTCTTTAAATTTGATCCAAACCCACTTTTTATAAAGCTGAATTTGTGTAAGTCAAAGAATTTGGAACTTTGTGCTTGGTTATGCATTATATTTCTGTAAAAGAGTAAAAACAGAAGATCGTTTTTTAAGTGGGTAGGTCGTTATATTGTCTGTTGCCTTTGATTTCTTTATATACTAAAGATTTGTCGATCTGATGGGTGATGGTTCTTGATTCTTGCGCTGTGGTTATTATCTTCGATTAATGTGCTTGTTGTTTTGTGTTCTTGAATTTGACTCATTTGCAGATACAGATTTTCTAAGTGCCTTATATATAATTCTTTAATTTTGATCCAACCCCACTTTATATTAACTTTAATTTTGTGTAAAATAAGTGAATTTTTATGGGTTTAGGCAATGCCTTTCTGTAAAAAAACGTCAAAAAAATCTCAATAATTTTATGTGGGCAGATCATACATTGCTGTTGCCTTTTAATTCTTTATATACTAAAGATTTGTTTTGATTCTTCCGATGTGAGTAATGTCTTTTGAGTTGGTGAAATGGCAATTTTATTGTTGGTTTGTAGAGACAATTGCTTGGTGGTTTGGGGGATAGAGGAGATAAGAAAAATCTATCAGTGATGGGTGGTAATGAAGATGATGATAATCCTACCATTGATGATCAACCATTTACTCCTTGGATTGTATCTGTTGCCAGGTGATTGCAACCTTCTTATTTCGTATTTTTCCCATATACATATATCATTGTTCCTGAAAGAATATCAAGACCCTATTGAAATGGGAACAATAAGACATCGAAAAACCACCTTCGAGTTGGACATACTGGACTCATTTGGTTTGGTTTGCTTTGGTTTTATTACCATGTATGATGTTTAGAAAAGTGGAATCACTCTTCAAAGTAAATTTTATGTAAACCTATTGAAGAAACTTATATAACAATTTAATGTTAATCATCAACTTTGTGTTTCAGTGGTCACATGTTGTTGCGCGACCCGCACTATAACAAAGGGCTTGCTTTCACCGAGAAGGAAAGAGATGCTCATTACCTGCGAGGGCTTTTGCCTCCCGCAGTATTCACTCAGGAACTTCAAGTAAGTTTATAATCCAAAGTCATCTTCTTTCAGTCTTTTTCTAGATTTCAGGGGGCTATCATACTATCAGAACTCCACAGTTAAACATGCTTAGATGAGAACATTTCTACCATCTCTAAGTTTCTTGATCATACCAATGTCTCCCATCACAAGTCCACAGTTAAGCATGTTTACAAGATAGCAGTTGTACCTGAATATAATTTTCTTGATCATGATTATTAGGAAAAAAGAACATTGCACATACTACGCCAATACCAAGTTCCGTTGCATAGATACATAGCCATGATGGATCTCCAGGTATCCATTGATCTCATATTTTTGTAACTTAACTACATAGACTCATCATTTGATCTCTACATTTATGCTAACAAGTAAAATGTGCAATTACGAGTAGGAGAGAAACGAAAGACTATTTTACAAGCTTCTAGTTGAAAACGTCGAGGAACTACTCCCAATCGTTTACACACCAACGGTGGGTGAAGCTTGCCAGAAATATGGCAGTATTTACCGGCGTCCACAAGGGCTTTACATCAGTTTGAAAGACAAGTAAGCTTTATGTTAAAAAAAGAATTCAAATACAAACTCTATTCTATATGATTGTTGTTCTTTCTTTGGTGAATTGAATCTTGTATCCCCGTAGAATGGATAGTGCTAATGGTAGTAGCCTCTCTATCTGTTGAGACAGACAGAGGAAATGGCTGTATGTCTTACCCCCAGACCCCACTTCTGCGTGGAATATACTGGTTTTGTTTGGTTTGAAACGATGCTGACAGTAATTGAATTATCAGGGGGAAGATTCTTGAGGTGATGAAAAATTGGCCGGAGAAGAACATCCAAGTTATTGTGGTAACTGATGGCGAGCGGATATTGGGGCTAGGTGACCTTGGTTGCCAGGTAAAATCTTCGCCCTTTAGGTGCTTTAAGACGTGCATTTTTAATGGGCTATGTATATATTTTATGCTTTACGACACGCACTTTGTATTTTTGTTGCGAGTTATATACCTTTCTATTTTGATGATTTTGTAATGTTAAAATATGACAGGGGATGGGGATACCTGTTGGAAAACTTTCTTTGTACACTGCACTTGGAGGTGTTCGCCCTTCTGTTGTAAGTCTTCTTTATTCGGATGCGATTGCATTTAGTTTTACTGTATCATGAAATTTTACTCCTAGATGGGTGAAAATGTTTAACCTTGAAACTCTATCCAAAACCCGAAAATCGTTGCAATTTTTTGGGACAGTCGAACTAGTATTCAAATAATAGAACTGCCACCCTTGCATCAGGCAGGTGTAACTTCTAAATGACATGCTTTTGGTGTTAAACACACTCCCTCTGGTTTATGATGACATGTTCCTGTAAAATCTTGAAATATACACTAGAAGGTTAGTTTGTGGCATGTAAAAAGTTAACCATGTTCACTTCCTTTCGCTACAGTGCTTGCCCGTAACCATTGACGTTGGCACCAAAAACGAGAATTTGCTGAACGATGAGTTCTACATTGGTCTCAAACAAAAAAGAGCAACTGGGGAGGTCTCATCTCATTAACATCGTTTCTTTTGGTTCTTACATTTGATGATTATGTATTCATCTAAACCTGGTTATTTTAGGAATACGACAATTTATTAGAGGAATTCATGACTGCGGTGAAGAACAACTATGGAGAAAAAGTCCTCATTCAGGTCTGTTGGCGGTTTTCTTCAACTTTTTGGGTTTATATCTTGGTCTAAAGGCGAATCTACGGTGTGTTTCCAGTTTGAAGATTTTGCCAACCACAACGCGTTTGATTTGCTGATTAAATACAGAACAAGTCATCTTGTTTTCAATGATGATATTCAGGTAAGCATCCTTGAAAAAAGATATGGGTGTGTGTCAATGTCAACCCTTTCATTCTCTTGTGAATACAACTACACAAAATGGCCTGATGTATCGCTGACAGGTATGTCTTTAACGTACTCACCTCTCTTTTGATCAATGTGATTCAGGGCACGGCATGTGTCGTTTTGGGTGGTTTGCTTTCGGCTTTGAAGTTACTTGGGGGGACTCTTTCCGATCACACATTCTTATTTCTAGGTGCCGGAGAGGTGAGCTTCATATGTTCCTCGCATTTTTCATTCGGATACTCGTAATTCGGCTTGTGCCCGTCATCGAATTTTTAATCTTTTTGGTTCTAAAGGCTGGTACCTATTGAAGTCTTTGGTTACAAACGGTCATATGACTGAGTCTGTTTAGATTTGAATAAGWATTTTGAATTAGTCCTAGTTGTTCCTATTTCTTAGCTGATAGTTTGCTGTTCTGTTTCCTGTGTAAGCCTATAAAAAGGCAGCTTGATTTATTGAATAAAGTATCACATTTCAGAGTCAAATTGTGCGTATTATCACCTGGTTTTAACAGTACCGGCATAGCAGAGCTTATTTCGCTTGAGATATTGAAGAAGGTAATAGCTCCTCTTAACTCTGAATTTTAAACGCTTAACTTAGCGAATAGATGCTAGTTGAAACAAGATCTCTATCCCTTGGGGTAGAGGAAATGTCTCCCTATACTCTACTTGTGTAGGATATATTGGGTTTTTTTGGTTCGAGTTTTTATCTTAATCATTAAGATGTTATTCGCAGACAAAAGCGACAGTGGAAGAATCCCGTAAGAAAATTTGGCTCGTTGACTCCAAGGTACTAGAAAAATTATCAAGCATCCCTTTTCTAAGAACTCTTTACAAGAACCAGTTGCCGTCCCAAGTGGTTTGAGTGTAACACGGCCTTCTGTTATCAAGCCGAGCCTTAAAAGGCAGGCCTAAACTGGTCCCACTTTGGCCATTTCCAGATTACAGTACGAACATTAAGTGTGTGTTGTATTGATATAGGGATTGCTTGTGAGCTCACGAAAAGACTCCCTTCAACATTTCAAGCAACCATGGGCTCATGACCATGAACCGGTGACGGGACTCTTGGAAGCCGTCAAGGTATGATTATTCTATGTCACCTTTTGGACTGTTTACGAAGGCTTCCATCCTTGCTTCGTTAGTTGATGTTAAGTATGTTAATGCAGGCAATCAAGCCAACGATATTAATAGGAACATCAGGAGCTGGGAAACAATTTACAAAAGAAGTTATCGAAGCCATGGCATCTATAAATGCAGTTAATTCTCGCATCGACACAAACAACTGTTGTTTCTTTTATACTTAAAATACAACATTTATATGATTGTTTTACGCGTAGAAACCGCTCATTATGGCTCTATCTAATCCGACGTCACAATCCGAGTGTACCGCTGAAGAAGCTTATACGTGGAGTCAAGTAAGTTAACCATCCGCTTAATCATTCTTTTCGTACTAGGGGTGTCGAAAAACCGAAACCGAATAACCCATCTGCAGTGCATTGTATGAATGGTTCGGGTTATAATTCCTTACTGGGTTAAACAGCGGGTATGGTGTTCATTTCTTTTTCGCGTCCCCACAACCACATCGGCATGATCCCATGATTAAATCCTCATATGAGTTCAAAATGTTAGCAGGGTCATGCGATTTTTGCTAGCGGAAGCCCGTTTGATCCCGTTACATACGATGGCAAAGAGTTCGTGCCTGGTCAGGTCTGAAGCTTACACGAGATATCAATTCCGTAGATTTCAAATTTATTGCAAAACCGTTTTTATAAAAGAGATATTTTAGGATCTCCAACAGTTATTCAAATAAATTACTCAAAATGAAAGGAAAAAAGTAACCCAAAATTACATCCAACTCCAATAGCTTCTGCACTCTGGATGGTAATTTTATTACTAAAATATGCAATATTATAACAAAAAATGGATTTATAGAAAATTACATTCTCTCTCCTACTTTCTCCAAAAACCTTTGTTTTTCTCCATTTTGGAGATGCTATTGAAGATGGATAGAGATTGTGGGGTAAAGGAAAGGTTTGGAATTTACGAGGTTCGTTTGATTATGATCGGATTTCAATTATCTTGTTTTTGTTTTGAAATGCAGGCAAACAATGCTTACATATTTCCGGGATTTGGTTTGGGATTGATCATGTGTGGTGCGATTCGCGTGCATGATGAGTTCCTTTTGGCAGCCTGTAAGTTCAAAAACACCATCTTTATATCTTTGACCTCCAAAAATAAAAGGGTAAAACACTTGGGCTATCATTCAACAACTATTATCATATAACAAAAATAGCGTAAATTACGTTTTCCTACTTAACAAAATTGCTTTTTACTTAATATTATCAAAGTAAGGATGTGATAATGTTACATTCACCAAAGCGATAGAGCAAGTTTATATTACCATCAAGGAGATTACGTAGTGCTTGTACAAGATCCTTACCAAAAGCTTCAAATGTCAAGAACACCGACTTCTATACGCATACCAAAAATGGTAAAACAAGCTCTTGAGAGAAAAAGTGGAGATAAGAGTGTTTTGGAAGCTAGGAAGTGGATTAAAGATATGAAAAAGCAGAACGGATGGCAAAGGTATGGGCTGAAAGCCCTTTTGCTGTCATACAACTTTGACAAGGGCAACTGGATATGCTACCCTGTCCGTATATTATATATAAATCAAGAACCACAGTGCTTACTGCTTAGGAAGGACATGAAGAACTAGTTCAGAAATATATCAACTTTAGCTCAAGGACTTAATCAGATGTGCTCTGTTGATGGATCCATCTCTCAATAAGTCCTTTTAGGAAGGTTCAAATTTATAAACATGGATGCATGAAAAGATATTGTTTTCGTTAATTTGGTTTATGATTAGATGGGATCCATGAAACGGAAATAAACCATGAGTCTTTATATGCAAACAAACAGCGGAAGCTTTGGCATCTCAAGTGACCGAAGAAGACTATGCCAAGGGTATTATCTATCCACGTTTCAAGAATATCAGAAAGATTTCAGCGCATATTGCTGCAAAGGTAGCTGCTAGGGCCTATGAACTTGGTAAGCACATATTTTCTCGTCGTTATGAATCTAAACGATTCAGTAATTCTCACCAGTTTTTTTTTATTACTTTGCAGGTTTGGCATCTCATCTCCCTCGGCCTAGCGATCTTATTAAATTCGCAGAGAGTTGCATGTATTCTCCAAACTATCGTAGTTATCGTTAACGTTTGTTTTAGGTTAAATTTGTTTGATTCATTCTTTTTACTAGCTTTATTAATTAGGCTTAAAGTTATGTGTATCAAGAATCGTACAATGCTATCCAGATGATGAATCAAGTGTTCTCTTGTTAGGTTTTACATACACTCCTCTAATGTTGTTAAAGCATAAACCAGATGATGAAACATAGTGTTCTTTTGATGTGTACCATATGGCTTAAAGGCATGTTAATCTTATCTTTAGGCTCAAAACCAAGTTCTTTTTATCTTTAGGCTCAAAAGCCTTTCGTCTCATCTATGTGGTACATATCATCGTTTGAAAGGTCAGATCGTATTTTAAATTTATTGAGTAACAAGCAAACCCTTATAAACTTAGAATAGTTGTTGTGATAATAATCAATTGGTATTGTGGTCAGTATATCAAAAGACATCCAAGTGACATCAATATCCAATGAAGTCATTCAACGGAAAGTTAATTACCACAAATCTATCTATATTAGTCACCAATGTTGAAACCTGTTAGTTGCAACTCTGATGACATTAACTTTAGTGTTGAAGACATCAAAACTTTGGAAAGTATGAAAATGGTGATCCGAACATAAAGACTTTATAAACTTTGAGGATCAAGAGATGGCTAATGCTGACATTGAACAAAGGAATGTGGAAATGTATTAGACAACTCTAACATTGAAGATCGAGAACTGAATGTCCAAATTCTGACGACTGTAAAGTTAATGAATCCACCCTCATGCTTTCAAACATGATGATGCAACACTAATGAGTTTAGAACTTGATGAAGATTTTGAGTACATATCATCTGCCTACATGGATTCTTGACAAAATGACCACATGGGCACTCCAATCTGCTCCTCGACAGTAAGTACAAGTACGTTCATTGCATTAAATGAGTACTTATTGCTCTTTCTAAGAGAGGGAATGAAAATGTTAAAGACACTTACAAGTCATGATAAGTCAACTTTTATTTGGAGAAGTACAATGCTTAAGGACAAGTTCTAAAAATAGGCACACACAAGGACAAAAGTTGTCACCTACCACCAAAAAAGTTACTAAGTCTAGCAATCCTCACAAGGTACAAGACCTTACTTGTTATTTAATAAGAGGAGGATATTGTTGGTCTCACCTATTGATTTGGTGATGACCCTTCGATCTTCCTGCTAGTCAATCAATACTTAGTAGACTATAAGGTATTTATATTTTGGTTATTAGCCTTTGGCAAAATTGAAAACTAACTGAAGTGAAGATAGAAGATCATCAATAAGGTCTTGTGTTCAACTATCCAATTTATACACCAAATAGCCTCAGGCAGTCTATTTGAAGCCCTTACAACCGATTTGAAGCTCTAGAGGTCAATTAATGAACATTGATCTGCCAAATGTCAAGTCTGACCAACCCTTGTACTTGAAAAAGATATTCCCTGAAAGTATGAGTAAAGTAGGTTTGTCCCTATATACTTTTACTATTCATATCCTCAACAAAGTACATTGAAGTTGAACCATGTCTAAATATGAATGTATGCTAAAAGGACATCTAATGGTGATCAAGTCAATGTTGGACATCTTATCCCAAGATGGCAAGTGTTCTCTTTGTGAAAACATGCAGTTAATGCATAAGGTGATATAAACGACATAGTGCATCTCCCACGCAAACTGTGCTTTCCAGACATAATTTCCAATGCATTCTCATGGTAATGGGCTACCTCTCTACTGGCAAAAGCTTTGTGTTCTTCTGTTCTTACATGTTTCCTAAGTGTGTTCTCGTAATTCTTTGTGTGAGGTTGTTTATGATATATTTATCCTGTCCTTATTTCATAGCAATCTTTGCATTTCTCTGTGCTAATTCTTGATATTCATCAAGAAAAATTAAAGGTCAAAAAATCTGTGTAATTATACTCAAGCCCCCACCTTTCTTCAATTACCTGTCATTTTACATCTAATTGGGACCAACAAGTATAAATACCCACGTATTTTCACCTTTGAGAGTACGTTTCTTCAAAGACTAAAATTTTGGTTCATCTTCTTGCTCATTAGTGCAAACCAGAAAAGAAGAAGAACAACGTTTATATTTCCAGTGAAGAACCCCGAAGGAAGCTCTACCATATGAAAAGATCATTTATGAGTTCTAAGTCCTAAAGTTTGGTCTAAGAATTTTGTCTTGTAGAGTTAGGGGTTGTTTGGCAATTGCTGAATGGTTTAGTACAGAATGATTAAGTGGTCAGAATGATTAAGAGGCTCTCATGATATAGTGCAAAATGAAATATAATTGTTTGGTAATTGTGTACAATGAAATTAGGGCTCTTAATGGATAAGGGAGATCCAATATACAAAATCATTCAGAGGGTTTTAGAACCATTAAGAGGCAAACTTTTATTTTGCCAAACAAGATTCACCTCTTAACGATTCAGAGGTTGTCTCTTAATGAAACTATTAAGAGGTAAACAAACAGCCCCTTAGTTTTGATTTATACATTGAGAATTGGTTTAAGGATCTAGATTCCATAATTAGGCTTTCCAAATCTTTACTTCGAAAGTTTCATAAAATTCTTTGAAAGTTTTAAAGCATTGTATTCACCCAACCTACAATATTTGGGCATTATTTATGAATTGGTTAAAACTCTAGGAAAAAATTGGTAACAGTACAAATTAAATAAGTCTTTTGTTTAGATCTGTTATGGCTTTACCACATAGCCCAACATTTTTTCAAACGCTCTGGAAATAGGCCCTTGTCATTAATTAAGGATAAATACTCCGTTAGGGAAAACAAAATGATCATCTTTCTTGATAGTCTCGATTCTAAGCTCTTCGATGTAATCCAAAATGGAAAATTCATTTCTATGGTAACAATTGAAGTTATTCATCCTTCTTGTAATGCCCCTAGAACTCCTTCCATCCATCATCCAAAAGAGCGACTTTGTTGGACTAAGCATGATCATAGGAGGTACTATGTGGATGCAAACGAAAAAGGCTATTTGGTTATATCCTTTTCTAATGGCATGTATCATTCAGTTGTGATCTGCATATCTACTAAAAGGATTTGAGAAACTATCAGTATTTTGTTTTGAGTATGGACAAGGTAAAATGAGAAGCAAAACATGCTAGTTCAACAATGTGAATGCTTCTCATCTAAATATAATGAAACCTTGACAATGACTTATAATTGACTTAATTGAAATCCATGATTTAGATGTGAATGAGTCGAATTACTTCTCCCTAGGTCTATTAGTGGAACAAAAAGCTGTTAAAAAGGAATCACTTCCCTACTGCTGCCTCCTGTAGGAGTCCCATCAATGAGTTGAAATAACATGATATGAAAATTTGTTGATTCCGACATGTTTGATTAAATTCATGTGATGCTTACCACCAATATGGGATCTAAGTCCTATTTTGTTTAGAGTTTGTAAGGACCTAAAGATTGTGTTTTTTCATATCATATATTGAAGGTTAGCTTTTTGTTTATAGTGACCGAGGGGTAAGCAGGAATAGCCAGGTCAAGAAAAGGGGTTAGTGCAAGGGAAGTAGTTGGCTTCATGGCTAAAATGGGTTCCTGGTTCAGAGAGAGGGATGGTAGAAGTTGTGACCATGGTTCGGATTACTGGTGGGATGAAGGTGAAGGTTCAGGTAGGTTCAGGTATATGGTTGTGCCAGACTCCCCCTCAAGGAGATCACCAGGAACCAGGTCTTCAACTACCTTGTCTTTGCTTTTGTCAATAGCTCCCTAAGTTGGTTGCTCCCCCTCAGATGGTTGCCTAGTGATAAAAGCATAACTACTTTCAGCACCCAATATTCCAATCTTTTTGACAACATATCATCATTGTCATCATCATCATCATTGTCATCATCATCATCATCATCATAATTATCCTTGTCATGGCCTCTGATTACTGTCGCATCATCATCAGTGACATCATCATCATCATCTTCCTCCTTGTTGTCACCATCAAGAATGAGGACTTCAGCCCCAAGATTTGGAGCTAAGGTAGAAACTTCAACTACCATAGATGAGGGCATCATGAGGACAACATGTACATAGGATGAAGGCAACATGATAACATCTTTAATATAAGAACATGGAGTTGTATCAACTACCTAAACTTTCTATGCCTCAAATATAATCTTCTAAATCCTCTTTGTCAACATCATCACAAGGGAGAGTGATAAGTGTTAATTTATTAACCTTATTACATCATTTTCTTAACCATTTTCCTATGTTTTATTTGCCCATTAGTATCTTAATTGAGTCTTTTTATGTCTTTTTCATATATTAGTAGTAATATAGTATATCTAATGTTAATCCCCTGTTTATGCAGGTTTTTGATGATTTTTGGGCCCGATCCTGCAACAGTCCTGTAGGACCAGGAGTGGCAAAGTCCTATAGTACCTGTCCGTGAGCTGCACTTTTGCTTGGGCCGAGAATTCGTGGGCTGCTCCTTAGAGATTGCTGGGTCAACGACCTTGGGCCTGGTCAAAACCCATTTTTGAAGAGCCTTTTGTCTTATTAGGTGGCTCCCACTTGGCAAACTCCCTTAGCCTATAAATAGAAGGCTTAAGGCTTGAGTTTACTTACCAATTCACCAATTTACACACTTTTACTTACTTTCTTAATTGTTTATTTCTTAAATCTTTGAGTTATAAACATTTGCTCTCTAGAATATTATTTTCGGTTTCATGATTTCGGTTTTCTTGTTTCCAATCAAGAACTGATTTTTGTGAAGTGAAGTTGTGATTACGTTTTCAAGTTTAATTTAAGTGCTCGTATTTAATCTTCATCTCATTTCTGTTCTTATTTCCAAGTTACGTTACATTTTCTGATTTTTGTTACAAGTTACGAATTAGTCGATCTCTGTTGCTTTACATTGGATTTCATCATTTGTGGCTCACGACTAATTTACGTAGACTAAATAATATGTTTTTAAGAGTCTGCAAGTAACCTTTTCGGTCTTTGTAACGAAACTTGTTTTGCAAGTTTTGTTACTTGTCTTGCAAGCTACCTCAAAGTCAAACTCTATTTTCAAGGTTTTCATTAGTCATCTCTCCATCTAATCAAGTACTTGTCATCCATCATGTCTTAGTATAATATTAATTAATAATATTTAGTTATTAATTATTTAATTTCAGTTCTTTA